ACACGTTTTTAGAGGCTGGCACATATGCAGAAAATTATCAATTTAGGTTAAGGTTTGCTCATAGCATTCCTATTAAAGTGTCGACCAATTTTCGGTATTTTGAGGGGTTTAGTCGTATTATCTGGGCTCTGTTAGGGAAGAAAATTTTCAATTTTCTATATTTGGACATATACTCAATATAAAATAACAGTACAATTTGCGCACCTGAAATTTAATTTAATAAATACGTTAGCGGAAAATTTTGATGTAGGTCCATCTCTTGCCATAACCCCCATTAAAAGTGGAACGCGACCTAATTTCGGTACTATAAGGTGGCTATATTCTGAAATTCTGGATTCCGGATGAATAAAATAAATCTTTCCAGAAAGTTTACAATTTAGATTCATGATTTTTACATTACTCCTACACGAAGGCCCCGCATAGTTTGTTTTTTTTTCTTTTCCCAAATAAACAACCTGATAGCAGATAATGTCACAGTCACCATATGAAGTACCCAACAATTTCTTTACATGTTCACAGATTTACTGACACTTTTTTTATTGGGAAATCAAATTCATAGCGTGAAACATAAATAAATTTCGATAGGTCTATATGAAGTCGAAAAACGGCAATTTTTTATAAAGCCAAATAGACTGAATATTTTGAAAATATCCTGAAAAAATAAAAATGCTAAAAAATATGCTACATCAATTTTTTTGGTGCTAAATGAGTTTAAAAAGTGCTAAATCTAGCACTAAACGTGCTAAATTGGCAACACTGACCACGAGTGACATATTCCTCTTGGAAAAAATTTTAGATATTGGCATTTTATTTTGGTAGATGATCTATATAACGATCCCACATGTCTTCCATTACAATGTTGTAAATATAGGCATACGTTCTGATACAGAAAGAAGGTATTTTCCAATTTTCCCGGCACATTTTGTGAAATGGGATTCCAAGCATTCCCTATACAAAAAATCCGTTTAGTAGCATCTTAATTTTTGTGTACAAAAATATCGTTAATTTTATGAAATATCGCATAGATCCCATATTGGTTTAAATTTTTTCATAACATCATAACACATCTGATAATAACTTATGAATCTTCTGCTGTCATAATTTGCAAAATTACTTTTATTTTTAATTTATTTTTCTTAGATTAACAAAATATTTTATGAGTGCTACTTCAAAAAAAAAAAAAATAATAATAATCATAATAATTTTTAATCAGATAATCACAAATGTTATCAAAACATAGACAGTTGTATACATATGATTTGGAATTATAAATGCGAATACAGCAAACGAATTTATTGTTCATTCTCAACATAAGTTAACAATCGCTAAGCAAAATTAGAAAAAAAATTAAATTTATGTTAATCGGTCAGAAATTTGCTGCAGCAAAGCGCACAGTTAAAGATTTTATCTGAATCGGAAAAAATTGGGTATTTATATCATTATAAAATGAAATGGGAACAACTTTCATCGCAGCCGACAAACTTTGGATATTTGATGCACCATTTTCGTAAAATCGGACGAAAGTATATATGAACCGATTTCTACAAAATTTAAAACACTTTATTCTAGACTCGATTGTATACGATAAGCAGAGCGTCAGTCTGTGCTGATAGATATATTAGGTTGGAGAAAAAGAAATCCATTATTTTTATATGGCCGATGCCCAACCAGACTCCCGAAGTTTCTGGCGAGTCACTGTAGATGTGTGTAGTCTAGCGTTGCGCTGGTGGAACACGACACTCTCTTATTGGCCTATTCAGGCCGTTTTTGGTCAATTACTATCTTCAAACGGTCCAATTGTTGACAGTAGATATCAGAATTTTGCGTTTGGCCCTATGGAAGAAACTCTTAATAAATAATTCCCTTCCAATCTCACCAAATGCATAGCAGAACCTAGACATGGCCGTTAGACATGGTTTGGCCACCATTTAAAGTGCTTCATCGTTCAAACGATTGTTTTCGTACAGGCTTATAGTATGTGATCCATTTCTCATCTCCAGTCACCATTCTTTAAATAAATGAGTGTATCTCATTTCGTTTGGCTAAGCAGATGGAAATTCGATTCATTCTATTTTTTTCGGTTAATTAGTGTGGCACCCAAACATCGAGCTTCTTTTTGAAGCTTTACGAGAAATCTTGCAGTACAGCCGAAAAAAAATGGATTTATTTGCCCCCAAATTAATATATATTTGTCTATGGTTTGCCCAGGTCTATGGAATTAAACAAATGTTTAGAATTCACTTTATATACAGTACAGTAGGTCAAGAATCACTTTACACATTGAATAAATAACAAAAATTTTTCAATTTTTTTGATAATAAACATAAACGAGGAAGCGAGACCCATGGCTCTTTTTGCGAATATGCGTAGAATCACTTTCTGAGTCGATTTATGCATGTCCGTCCGTCTGTCCATGTTAAATTGTAAACAAAGTACAGATTGCATTTATGATCCGAATTGGATGAAATTTGGAAAAGCTCATTTATTTAGCCCAAAGACGAACTCTATTGAAATTTGAAAAAATCTCATATATAAATTCGTCCGATTTTGACTAAATGGCACAAGAAAACCTCACATATCGTCGATTGGCACCCATTTTTCCAAAACGTACTAAAGTTAGTACATAGGGGAGACTGTGGCACCTTTTGGTGCAGGGTGGGGCACATTCGGCCATATACAGATTTTTCCGTTTGTAATGCATCGAAATACTCATTTCCGACCCTATAAAGTATATATATTCTTGATCAGCGTAAAATTCTAAGACAATTTATGCATGTCCGTCTGTTTGTTGTAATCACTCTAGCGTCTAAACGAATTGAGATAGAGCCCCAAAAATTCGCATAGAGTCGTCTTTTGTCTGCAGGCAGGTCAAGTTCGAAGATGGGCTATATCGGTCCACGTTTAGGCATAGCTCCCATATAAGGATACCCCCCAATTTTCGGTATTTTGAGGTTCTTGAGCGTGTTTTTCAACCGAATTCGCTGAAATTTGGTACTCTGAGCTCTTATTGGGTAGCAAATATCCCCACTAAAAATTATAAATATAGGTCCATTTTTTCGGACAGCCCCCATGTAAGGGTAACCCCAAAATTTCGGTATTTTGAGGTTCTTGAGCGTATTTTTCAACAGAATTCGCTTAAATTTGGTACTTTCAGTTCTTATTGGGTACCAAATAAACCTACTAAAAGTTATAAATATAGGTCAATTTTTTCTGGTACCCCCCATATAACGGTACCCCTCAATTTTCGGTATTTTGGGGTTCTTGACCGCGTTTTTCAACGGAATTCGCTGAAATTTGCTTTATTGGGTTCCTATTGGGTAATAAATTTCTCCACAAAAAATTATGGATATAGGTCCACTTTTTCTGGTAGTCCCCATATAACGGTACCTCCTAATTTTCAGTATTTTGGGGGTTTTGATCGTATTTTTCCGCCGAATTAGGTGTAATTTAGTATTTTGAGTTCTTAATAGGTACCAAATCTCCCCACAAAAAATTATGAATATAGATCCATTTTTTCGGATAGCCCCCATATAAGGATACCCCCAATTTTCGGTATTTTGGGGTTCTTGAACGCGTTTATCAACCGAATTTGCTGCAATTTGGTATTTTGTAGTCGTATATAGTAACAAATCTCCGTACCAAAAATTAATAATATTCGCCCCCTTTTTGGGGTAGTCCCCATATAACCCCCTTTTTTATATTAAAATAGTTATCTGATTTGTTACGCGTTTTAATTTTGGTTCTAAGACTCTGTTGTAATCATTTCACCTGCGAAGGATAGCGAGATAAAAAATTAGAACGTAAGGTTCGATAATGAACTATAGCCGCATTTAGACCTAGCCCCTGTGTGGAGGTACCAGAAGAAGTGGCCCGATATTCCCCATCTTCGAATTTGACTAAGTTTGGAAGAAATAATAAGATGTGCGAGGTTTGAATGAAATCCTACTTTACTGAAACGGATTTGATCCAAAGAAACATGGGGTCTAGAACCAATATTTCGATGAGGTACATTTTCATTGTGTTAAAGTGTATACACCGTCATTAGCTGTAAGGCTGGAGGTATAATTATCCATTAAAATTTTCTGAAATTTGTATTGTTGTTTACATTATGGTTTACATAATCCGTTTTTAGAAATGTCGGTATAGGTCCACTTTTTGACATGTTCCCTATATTTTCATTTCTAGTACCTGCCCGTATATCTATGGTGGAGGGAATCCAAAGTTCGGCCCGGCCGAACTTAACGCTTTTCACTTGTAAACAACACTTTTCAACTGTAAAAATGGTGAACTAATACTAATTTATTATATGTTTTTGGTACTAGTTTTTATAACTAAGAATCCGTGGATAATAATAAAGTTTTTATATATGTTGATATAGAGCTCTAAACAAAAAGTGCCGAAGGTGCCCCTATATGATAACCTGTAGCAAGTTTTGTTGAATTCGGTTGAGATGTAGATATAGCTCCAATATATATTTTCGTCCGATTTTATTGTTTGTCAGATTGAGACGAAATTTTGCACAATGTATAAAATTGAGACTTCTTGAATGGCGTTATAATGCTTTGTTGGCATAAGTTCCATATATATATTTTCATGTTAATAGTGCACCAAATAAGCTACGGGTGTCAGATTAAGATTTTGTACTGCGCTGCCGTGTACCGAATACCGTGTATCAATTTTTTTATTAAATTACATAAATTTGTTCCTTTTGTAAACAAACAAACAAACTAAATTTTGCTGAATGAAATGAAGTTTGGCAGCGGTTGCAGAATGATATAAAGGTCACATATTTATGTTCGTCCAATTTGATGTCAATGATCCTTCAAAATGCCACGTCTGTTAGGATGTATCTGTTGAATATACCCAAAGTGATGAATGGTTTAAAATCATTCTAGACATACTGTACCTTCGATTGTTGTAGAAAAATAAATTATACATACTGGCTTTAGTTACGTCGCCTAAAGTTATACATATATTAATATTATATTATTTACTTACAGATACAACAGCCTCGCAATATTCTGTCATTGACAAAAGAAGAAAAACAAAAATTTTTGGATTCATTTGATCGTGTATTTTCGGATATAGATGGTAACTACTGCATTATATTACAATACGGAAGCCATATTCATAAATTTCATTTTTTATACAGGTGTAGTTTGGAATGCGTCCGCTGTCATCGAAGGTAGCGGGGATGGCTTTAACGCACTTCGTGAAACGGGCAAACAACTGACATTCATTACCAATAACAGTGTCCGGCCGGAACAACTATGCTTGGACAAATTGAAAGAGAATAAAATTGAAATTGAGGCGGTAAGTTATGAGGAATCTATATATGTATTTCGATAATATTTCAGTAAATATTATTCTGAAACTCTTTAAAAAAAGTAATTATGTTGAAGTATTACATATATACTATTGAATTATCGCACATTCCGTATTATAATAAAGGCTGGAACTCACAAATCCGTTGATTTATTTTACTTTATACAAAATGTTTAATTTCACATCATTTTATTTACAGAATGACCTAATTCATCCATCCAAAAGTATTGTGGAATATCTGAAAGGTATTAAATTTGAGGGTTTAATATATGCCATTGCAAGCGAATCGATTAAACATGATTTCCGGAAAGAGGGATTCCAAATCCTCGATGGAGTGAGATGACTATAGTATTTCAAATAATACCAATTCCTAATGACATACTTCTTATTTTAGCCTTACGAAATTATTGGAGAATCATTCCGTGATCTTATGGGTGTTGTAATCGGCCGTGAACCCGTCAAGGCTGTCATTATTGATTTTGATTTCAATCTAACAATGACAACAATGATGAAGGCCCACCATTATTTACGCCGGTCAGATTGTATATTTATTGGTGGTGCGAGTGATTACACTTTGCCTGTAACCAAAGACTTATCGGTCTTGGGACCCGGTGGATTTCTAAAAGTTTTAGAGGATTCCACCTGTCGAGAAATATTACTTTTTGGTAAACCTGGTAAAGCATTGGCAGATTCCTTGCTGAAACGTTATGATATTAAAGATCCCAGTCGAGCTATGATGATTGGCGATATGTTGGAACAAGATATACGATTTGGTAAACTTTGTGGTTTCCAAACACTGTTAGTCTTGAGCGGTGGCATAAAACTTGAAGAGCTTATGCGTCAAACAGATCCCAATGTTATACCAAATTATTATGCCAACAGTATGAAAGATTTTGTTGAATTTGTTAAGGATCTTAAAAAATCAAGTGCATAGTTGTGTAGGACTTTTCTTAAAAAATTAAAAAAATCTATAAGTTATAATTTATTCATAAGTTATTTTTTGTATGAAAATTAATTTATTACAATATTAAAAAATATGTTTTGAATGTGGTAAATTGAAGTCTTTTCACTACATGTATTTACATGATCGTAAATTGAGACCATCCATTGAGGTTTTGCATTATATCAGTTTTTGAACTCTTCCACCATCATATGGAAGGCAACTTTTGATCAAGCCAAACAAATATTCTTTGAGATTAATTGTCGGTTACTCAATACATAATAAAAACCAATAAGGAAAGTAGAAAAGTGGGTATATTCGACAGATGAATGCTAACAAACGTCGAATTCTGCAACCTATACTAAATTTTTCATTTGTTCAGATATAGGGTTGCTTCTTACAATGGGACAAAATTACCAAAACTCGGCAGAAAATATATATAGAAGATCTATCCAAATCTGAACCTATTTCAAAACTTTCCACATTTCAAAACTTTAGTATGTTGTGCAAAATTTGTGTCAATTTTGTGTAAAATCGGACGAAAATATATATGTAGAAGCTATATCAAAATCTGAACCCATTTCAATGAGAATGGCAGAGATTAACTTATATTAACTACAGTTTATTGTACCAAATTGTGTGGCAACCGGACAAACTTTTGGTCTTTAGTGCACAATTTACATAAAATCGGAAGAAAAAACATATAGGAGCTATATATAAATCTGAACCGATTTTCAGGAAACTTAACACACATCACTCCAGACTCATTTCAGTACACTATGCCAAATTTTGTGCAAATCGAAAGATATATAGGGACTTTGGTACACCATTTACCTTAAATAGGACGAAAATATATATGGAGCTATATCTAAATCTGAAAAGATCTTCAGGAAACGTAACACACATCATTTTAGACCTAATTCATTTCGCTATGCTAAATTTCGGGCAAATCAAAAGATATATAGGGACTTTGGTACACCATTTACCTTAACCTTAAAATCATATATAGGCATAGGGTTTAAAAAAAAACAATTTTCATTTTAACCTTCGGACAGTTTCGTCTGTTTTTCAGCAGAAACAGAAACATCAATGTTAACGGCACATAGGATAACCGAAAAATCGCAAGGAAGAAAAAAAATTTTAAATGTCGAATATATTCGGCAAAAACACTCAAAGGGTTAAATCGGACGAAGATATATATGGGGCTATATCTAAATCTGAACCGAATTTCAGGAAACATAACTCACATCATTCTATACCTAATTAATTACGATATGCCAAATTTCGTGCAAATCGAAAGATATATAGGGACTTTGGTACACCATTTATCCTTAAATCGGACGAAAATATATATGGGAGCTATATCTAAATCTGAACCGATTTTGATGAAACTTAACACACATCATTCTAGACCTAATTCATTACGCTATGCCAAATTTCGTGCAAATCGAAATGTGTATATATATATATATATATATATAGGGACATTGGTACACCATTTACCTTAAATCGGACGAAGATATATGTGGGAGCTATATCTAAATCTGAAACGATTTTCAGGAAACTTAACACATATCATTCTTTACCCTAGTCATTACGCTGTGTCAAATCGAAAGATATATAGGGACTTTGGTACACCATTTACCTTAAATCGGACGAAAATATATATGGGAGCTATATCTAAATCTGAACCGATTTTTCTCAATTTCAATAGGGTTCGTCCTTGGGCCAATTAAGTGACCTGTGCCAAATGTTATCCAAATCGGATCATAAATGCGACCTGTACTTTGTTAACAAAAATACATGGACGGACGGACAGACGGACATGCATAAATCGACTACAGAATATTGATTCTATGCATATTCTCAAAAGGAACCATGGGTCTATCTCCATTATTTTTGCCTGTTACAAACTTATGCACAAAGACATAATACCCTGTACCACAGTGTGGTGAAGGGTATAATAATGGTATGGCGTTAATTATGAAAAATAATACCAGCAGACTTGTGTCGTTCGGAAACGAACTAGTTCAAAGAAATTATTCGCAGAGAGGAACTATTGGGTTGTTCGGAAAGTTATGTTGTGTTTTTCCCCGTCAGAGGACTTAATACGTTATTTCGAAACCAACTACACACTTAAGCCGCATAACCATTATATGCCTTGAGGGCTGATATTACAAGGCTTGTCTGTGAAAAAGTTATATTAATTGTACGCAGTATTTTTTGGTTGATGTCCTTTTAAATTTTAAATTTTCAAGATTTTCATTGGGCTGGTAAATGAATACCAATGCATGTTAAGGTTTATAACTTTACACATATATATTTGAAATTGCAAAATTTGGTTGTTATTATTTTGTTTTTTTTTTTCTTTTCTTTGCCGATTAAAGGAAAAAAGAAAGACGAAAGACGGAAGAGTACATATCTGGCTCTCGTACTAGGATTATTGACTTCCCTCAAAAATTAACAAAATGACTAACCTTTGAAAACATTTTTTTGTAATTCTCTATTTTTGAACACAAACTAAGTTAAACCAGTGAACAGAGCAGTATATTCGGACGGGGCCGACCATACACAACTACCCTACACAACTTCCACGAAATGAATTTTGTGTGGTTCTATTTTTTGTTCTTGGACAATATTTGCACTCTCATGACCTTCACCGAGGGTTGTTATGTTCGGCTTTCAATTGTGACTCGAAAAAACACAAAAAAAAAAAATAAAATTTCGGTCCTCTTTATCTCAATATTATTATTTGATCATCACCGAAAATTATAGACGTTGTCCTTGACCATACCTGGATCTTCATGGAAAATTTCAAAGCGATCAGCGCTATATTTTCGCCCTCTAGGGTAGTAATGGGTTACTAAATAATATTTGAATATGTAAACACCTGTAAATATTTAAATGTAACTCCCACATCCGAGCACATACGACAATGTAATTGGTATCAATTTGAAGGTCAACCACTACTCTTGGATATACTATCATCTTCTCGGCTCTATGTCCTTCGGGAGTATATATATACGCCATAGAATACAATTTTTTCACACAAAAGTCACGGTCTATTTGACCCGCTAAATGTTGACCGATCGTTTACAAAACAGGTATGCTTATTCTTTGGCCCAATCCCCTTCTCCATGTAAAAATTCGCGACGTTTGGGCCACAATTGCGGCCTCTGGAGCGACCAGAAGAAGATTGGTCCATAACTGTGGCGTGTATCGTGATTACAAAATATAATGGACAGACGGACGGACACACATGTCTAGATTGACTCAGCTAGTCGAGATATATCGGTATACTTAAAGATGGGTCTAGGACCAATATTTCGCGGTGTTACAAACTCTTGTGACAGCACAAAGCTATAATACCCTGACAACATAGTTGTGTAGGTTATAATTACGGATGTGTATGGAGAAAGCGTTTTAACAGTACGCCTGTGTCAAAAATGGTTTTCAAAATTTAGATCCGACAATTTTGTCCATGTTTTCTTGAGAAAATAGTAGGTCGCATTTATGATCCGATTAGATAATAATTATCAAAAGTCACTTATTTGGCCCAAGGACGAACCATATTGAAATTAAAGAAAATCGGTTCAGATTTAGATATAGCTCCCATATATTGTTTCGTCCGTCCGTTTTATGTAATTGTTGCACTAAACTTCCAACATTTGAACTATTTAGACCAAATTCTGCACAGCGTACTGAATAAGGTCCAGATTGATGTATGCAAAGTTTTGATGGAAACGGTTCAGATTTAGATATATATTGTGCACCAAATATTCAATAGCCCCTTACCACCCATTGTTTGGTATATTGAAGCTTTTCGACACTTTTTTAACCTAATTAGCTGTAATTTGGTATATTTTGTTATCAATCACAATCCAATTTTTAGGGTATATATAATATAATGGTAACCCCCGAATATTCGTTATGTTGAAGCTTTTGGCCAGAATTTCCCGTTTAATTTTCGTTATGTTGTAGTTCCATTTCCATAAATATTATAAAATTCAAAGTGGGATCACCAATGACCTACTGTACGAGTATGCTCCCAACATTATGTTAAACACAAATGTAAATGTCAGATTCGAAATGTTCGAAACGGACTTTGATATGAAAGTGTATTTTGCAAATCATACAGAATTCTAAATTTTGAAAACAAACTTAATTATATTGCTAAATTTAAACAGCAGAATGCCCGTCATTCTATTTTTGCGATAACTAAAAATCTTTGTTATCAAAACGTGCTAGTGTACACGTGAAGTGAGTTTGCAATTAATTGTTTGTTTCATTTATCTCGTCTGGCGATTTATTCGTGACTTGGAATAAAAACATAGTAAACATATAAACAATGGGGTCGAACATGATTACGTTGAACACCTAGAATGCAAAGTCTGCATAACTAAGGGAAACCAGTAAGGGAAAAGTACGTCAACTAGGTACGTTGTGCAAAATTTCGTCTAAAATATGATAACATTTTGGCAATTGGTGCACAATTTACTTGAAGTCGGTCGATAATATATATTGGCGCTATATCTAAATCTGAAGAGATATCATCTTGATCTTTGGCATTTTTTCATTTTTGGGTTCTTAAAATATTCGCCAAGGGCTTTCATTTCTATAACGAATTCCCCACCTCCAAAATATTGTTCCCACCACCATAAGGTAGACGGTATATTACATGTGTCATTCCGTTTCTAACATATCGAAGCAATTGTTACAGACCCCTCAATTTATTTTGGCATTGTTGGTCACATTTTTCAAAATTAGATCTAATTTTGTATTTTGGGTTCTTAATGTATAGCGAATCTCCCTACATTATACCCTACACAACTATGTTGTCAGGGCATTATAGCTTTGTGCAACCCCAAGTGTTTGTAACGCCGCGAAATATTGGTCCTAGACCCACCTTCAAATATACCGATCGTCATATCTCGACTAGCTGAATCGATCTAGACGTGTGTCCGTTCGTCCGTCTGTCCATTATAAATTGTAAACACGATACAGGCCACAATTATGGACCAATCTGCACAGATCGATCAATATTTAGCGAGTCGAATAGACCATGACTTTTGTGTGAAAAATAAAAAAAATTGTATTTTATAGCGTATATATTTACTCCTGAATGACACAGACCCAAGATGTTGACAATATATCTAAGAGGAGTGGTTGTCCTTCAAATTGATACAAAATTACATTGTCGTATGTACTCGGATGTGGGAGTTACATTTAAATATTTACAGGTGTTTACATATTCAAATATTATTTAGTAACCCATTACTACCCTAGAGGGCGAAAATATAGCGTTGATCGCTTTGAAATTTTCCATGAAGATCCAGGTATGGTCAAGGACAACGTCTATAATTTTCGGTGATGATCGAATAATAATATTGGGATTAAGTGGACCGAAAATTTAATTTTTTGTGTTTTTTTTCGAGTCAATCTATAGGCCACAATTGAAAGCCGAACATAACAACCCACGGTGAAGGTCATGAGAGTGCAAATATTGTCCAAGATCAAAATATAGAACCACACAAAGTTCGTTTCGTGGAAGTTGTGTAGGGTATCATATGGTCGGCCCCGTCCTACTATACTGCTCCGCTCACTGGTTTTTGTTTATGTTCATCAGCTCCAATATTTTTCTCTCTTTAGTTTTTTATTGCGTCGGCACAGTAAACTAAATTATGTGTGAAAGTATTTTTTGTTGGATTTGAGAAAAACAAAATTAACATCTTGTTTCCAAAGATAAGAACACACCGCGTTCTTAATCATTATCAAAATGTTAGTAACATGTGGTGTCTCGCCTACACGTGATATACAGTTAGCTACAATGTATACTTTTTATCACCCCATTCAAATTTATGGCCTAATTTTTTCCCAAATGCAATTTTAATCACATATTTAAGCTCCCATATATATATATATATATATATATATATTTCCATCCCATTTCATCTAAATATACCAAATAACTAAAGTTTTTCCGATTGAGAGGAATTTCAACAATAACGCGTATTGGATATATATATATATATATATATCCCGAGTATATTTTCGTCTGATTTTATGCAATTTGTGCACCAAATAATAAAAGTTTCCTACGAACTATTCTATCAGGACCTAATTGAGCTCTATTCTGCTCAATTAGGTCCTGATTCACATATAGCTCGTACACATTTTTTTGCTCGAATGGTATACCAAGGAATCCATAGATATCAGAATGTAAACAAAGTACAATGTACATTTATTTGGCCCAAGGACGAACCCTATTGAAATTGGAAAAAATCGGTTCAGATTTATATACAGCTCCCATATATATTTTCGTCCGATTTCAGGTAAATGATGTACCAAAGTCCCTATATATCTTTCAATTTGCACGGAATTTGTCACAGAGTAATGAAGTAATACTAGAATGATGTGTGCTAAGTTTCGTGAAATCGGTTCAGATTTCGATATAGCTCCTATATATATTTTCGTCCGACTTCAGGTAAATGGTGTACCAAAGTCCCTATGTATCTTTCGATTTGCACGAAATTTTGTATAGCGTACTGAATTGAGTCTTGAACGATGTTTTGTGAAAATCAAAATTATGTGAGCTAAGTTTCGTGAAAATCGGTTCAGATTTATATATAGCCCTATATATATTTCGTCGGATTTAATGTAAATGGTGCACCAAAGTCCGAATATATCTTTCGATTTGCACGAAATTTGGCAAAACGTACCTAATTGAGTCTAGAATGATGTGTGCTGAGTTTCGTGAAGATCGGTGCAAATTTAGATATAGCTCTCACCAAACTCCTAACGTTTGTCCGATTGACACCAAAGTGCGGCATACCGAATAGTGTGTATTAAATTTGCTATAAATCGATTTAAATAAGTTTCTCCCATTGTACTCAAACGACTGTAATTCTGCCTGAATGAAATTAAACTTACGTAAATGGTGCGCCAAAGTCCCTGAAAATCATTAGATTTGCGCGAATTTTCGCGTAGAGTATTGAATTAAGTGTAGAATGGCTTATGATAAGTTTCGTGCAAATCGGTTCAGATTTAGATATACCTCCCATAAATAGTTTCGCCCGATTACAGGTTAATGTTCCATCAAAGTCCCGGCAAATCTTTTGATTTGCACGAATTTTGGCATAGCGTACTAAATGAAGTCTAGAATAATGTGTGCAAAGTTTCGTGAAAATCGGTTCAGATTTAGATATACCTCCCATATATATTTTGTTCCCATTTTATGTAAATGCTGCACCAAAGCCCCCTATATCTTTCGATTTTGGTATAGCGTACTGAATTACGCCTAGAATGATGTGTGCAAAGTTTCGTGAAAATCGGATCAGATTTACAAACACCTCCTATATATATTTTCGTCCGATTTTAAGTAAATGGTGCACTAAAGACCCCTAGCTAAGCCGATTGAAACAACGTACTGAAGTTAATATAAATTAATCTCTGGCAAGTTACCATGAAATCGGGTGTTTGATTGAGTTTAAATTTTAAACAGTGCAGCATACCGAATAGGGTGTGCCAAGTTTGCTTTAAATCGATTTACAACATTTAGCATAGGTTGCAGAATGACATGTGTAGGGATTGATGTTAGTCGGTTTAGATATAGATGAATATCACATATTTAAGTTCGTTCAATTTCATGTCAATGTTCCTTCGAAAATGCGACGTCTTTTAGGATACATATGTAGAATATACCAAAGTGGTGAAGGTTTGTTTTTCTAGACAATCCTGGACTCTGGATGGTCCAGAAAAACAATAATGACTAAAACACGAAGGTTTACGTGGAAAAAGGGATCTGACCAAAAAATTCACATGGTTCTTTTCACGATAATCGGTCAACATTTATCGGGTAAAATATACCAAGATGGAAAGAGGAGTGGCTGGCCTTTGAATTGATACCAATTATGCTGTTGTATGTACTCGGATTTTGGAGTAATATGTACATAGTTACGTATTATCATGTTGTCTAGTATTGCGATTGCCTTACACAAAGTTCCGGTCAAGGACTACGCTTATTATTTTCGGTTATGATTCGCGGATGAAATGGATCGAAAGCATAATTTTTGCCTGGTTTTCTTGTCACTCTAGAAGCCACTATAATAAGCCGAATAATGTTACATGGGTAAGGGGATCTGGCCAACGAAGAAATATAGCAGAGTATTGCTCTCAAATTTTGGGGAAAAGTAAGTAATACCCTAGGTATACTCTATGTGTAATATAATATCAGGATCCACAATATAATGTAGGGTATATTTATAATTGACTTCTACACCCACTCCACGTCTCCCACATACACATTTATATTGCTGTATGTTCACACCTCCCAATTGCGAATATCGATATGATTGGTGCAAACTCACCATTGTGAACATTGAAATGATTAGATTAGCGAAGGCCTACATATTGAGTTTTGCACAGAAATTTCAAACAAATACCACAAGATGAACACCTTGTGCTTCAGTTCTTAATAGATCTCGATAGCATTTCCATCTTGAAAAATAAGTGAATTAAACAAGTTTATATTTTTCACAATGTTGACATTTATAAAAGCCGTTGACCAAATGAGTCGTGTAAGTGAGAGTGTATTTTTTAAATATAGTGTTATCGGAACGAACATTTTTTTGTTCGTAGTTCAAGTATTTTGAAGAGGGAATTTAATAATATAGTTCTTTAAATTATTATTTGGAAGATAATAAAATGCTATATTCCAAACATCCGTAATTTTCAATTGGCAATAGATGTGAAAAGTGCAAAATTGCCGATTTTTGTACATTTTTGTGGTCTGAATTTTTAAATATAGTTGTTTCTTCATTTTTGCAGGTACCCAAACCTCGTAACATCCTCTCCTTAAACGCTGAAGAAAAACGTAGATTTTTGGATTCTTTCGATTTTGTATTTTCGGATATTGATGGTGTGGTTTGGAATGCAACGGGTAACATCGAAGGCAGTGGGGATGGGTTTAATGCTTTGTGTGAGGCTGGCAAAAAATTAACCTTCATTACAAATAACAGTGCTCGCCCCGAGGATGTGTGTTTGGAGAAACTGAGAATGAATAAAATTAAAATAGAATCGGTAAGTTTCCTCACTATATAATAGTTATACTAAAATTCCTAAATTGTGATATTCCCCCAATCCAGAATGACCTAATCCATCCATCCAAAAGTATTGCAGAGTATCTGAAAAGTATTAATTTTGATAGCGCGATATATGCCATTACAAGTGAATCTTTTAAAAATTCACTGCGGGCTCAGGGTTTCAACGTTATGGATGGGGTAAGTTCAGCACTACTTCCAATCTTGTGTTCTATTCTAACCAAATTTTTTTTCCTATTTTTTTCCCAGCCTCATAAAGTTATTGACGAATCATTTCGTGATCTTATGGCCGATGTCATTAATTGTGATCCGGTCAAGGCGGTTGTCATCGATTTTGATTTCAACGTAAATATGACAACAATGATGAAGGCTCACTATTATTTACGTCAACCCGATTGTTTGTTGATTGGTGGCGCCACAGATTACTACTTACCTGTAACCAAAGATTTGTGGCTTTTAGGACCCGGTGGTTTTCTTAAAGTTTTAGAAGAAGCCAGCCGCAAGGAGGTGTTACTTTTTGGTAAACCTGGCAAAGCATTGGCCGATAGAATTCTGACACGTTATGATATTGAGGATCCAAGTCGTGCCCTAATGATTGGTGATATGTTGGATCAGGATGTACGTTTTGGTAAACGTTGCGGCTTCCAGACTCTGATAGTTCTAAGTGGTGGCCTGAAACTTGAAGAGCTTATGTGTCAAACAAATCCAAATGTTATACCAAATTATTATGCCAATAGTATGAAAGATTTCGTCGAATTTATGAAGGACGTGAAAAATTCGAATGCTTAATTGTTTAATTGATATTTGTAGGGTGTAAACAAATAGTTAAGTATTTAATATTATTAATTTATTCAATCAACAATATTTTTAGTTATATTCAAAAAAATTAAGTTATAATAAAACAATAATATAACATGATCGTATTTGGTAATGGTATGTAGTTCCGGTGTCAGGTTGAAAAGAAGAGTGATAAATCATCACCATATGTCTGACAGTTACATTGTATACTTATAACAGTCAAGGCCTGTTGTGCGTTCTGAGATATGAAACAAGTTGGATAAAGGTCGAGATAAGTCTCGAACAGAAATTCTGTATTTTTTTACGAAATTTTTTATACTTACCACCTCATACAACTATGATGAAGTATCGAATTGAAAGTATTGCAAAAGAAGTACACATAAGAGGTCTATACCGTCATCTCTTATTGGTTCCGGGGTATTTTCTTCACCAAAAGAAGTACACATAAGAGGTCTATACCGTCATCTCTTATTGGTTCCGGGGTATTTTCTTCACCAGAAGTACAGTCCTGGTATACAATGATAACTTGGTCAACGATAATCTTCGCCTGAAGATGTGATTGCAGCGTTCAAAAGCGATTCAACAATTCGTTGGAGTTAATTAATAGTAAGTGATCAGATATATTTTTACAGGACTATTATTATTTTGAGGTCCCTAAAACTAAACTAAAATTATCATGATTGGTTATATAAGGTTATATATTAAACCTTAATCAGATCTTTGGCTAAAGCTTATAACTTTTTATAATACCTAAAAATATTATTTGCCTTCATTTCACTAGACACATTGAGCATAAATATTATTTTGCAAAATAATTCAACGATAATCACGTTTCAATTCGTTATCGGAACGTGAACAATTTGCTTGAGTACACGTGATAGTGGCTAACTACTCCAACATTTGTATTTTTGTTATCAGAAAATTGACGGTTCATACAAGTAATTGAAAGGAAATTTTAACCACATATAATGAATAGAGCTACAACGGTAAATTAACTACTTAATATTATATCATTTTTGTATGGGACTGAATAGTTTCACACCAGGACTATGTTATGTTTCGATTGAAACATAAATTGGAACTACATAGATGGAGGGAGCTGAACAGGATCAATAAAATGATTTATCATTATTATTATTTTTATACCCTTCTTTGTGCATATGTTTGTAACAGGAAAAAGGAATCGAGATAGACCCATGGTTCCTTTTGAGAATATGCATAGAATCACTTTCTGAGTTGATTTAGGCATGTCAGTCTGTTGACGTTAAATTGTAAGCAAAGTAAAGGTCGCATTTATGCATAGCGTATTGAATTAAGTCTAGAATGGCGTGTGCTAAGTTTCGTGAAAATCGGTTCAGATTTAGATATAGCTCCCATATTTAGTTTCGCCCGATTTAGGTTAATGGTGTACCAAAGTCCTATATATCTTTCGATTTGCACGAAATTTGGTATAGCCTACTAAATTAGGTCTAGAATGACGTGTGCCAAATTTCGTGAAAATCGGTTCAGATTTAATAGATATAGCTCCCATATATAGTTTCGCACGATTTTAGGTAAATGGTGTACCAAAGTCCCTGCAAATCTTTTGATTGACAAGAATTTTTGTATAGCGTACTAAATTAAGTTTAGAATGATGTGTGCTAAGTTTCATGAAAATCGGTTCAGATTTAGATATAACTTCCAAATATAGTTTCGTCCGATTTATGGTAAATGATGTACCAAAGTCCCTATATATCTTTCGATTTGCACGAAATTTGGTATAGCCTACTGAATAGGGTCTAGAATGATGTGTGCTAAGTTTCGTGAAAATCGGTTAAGATTTAGATATAGCTCCCATATATAGTTTCTCCCGATTTTATGTAAATGGCGCCCCAAAGTCCCTGGAAATCATTTGATTGGCAAGAATTTTGGTATAGCGTATTGAATTAAGTCTAGAATGATGTGTATACCTCCTATATATATGTTCGTCCGATTTCAAGTAAATTGTGCACTAAAGATCCATAGCTAGGCCGATTGACACAACGTACTGAAGTTAATATAAATTAATATCTGGCAGGTTTGCTTGAAATCGGTTCAGATATAGATATATCGTAGCTTCCATATATAATTTCGACTTATTTATTCTAATTGTACACCATATAGGTGTCTGTTTGAAATTAAATTTTAAACAGTGCAGCATACCGAATAGCGTGTGTCAACTTTGCTTTAAGGGAAGGGAATTTTTGTTGTTGTTTTTAGTGATCAAAGGAAAGTCCTTATTTTTGATGGTGGGCATCATAACTACTCACTGGAACATCGGAATCCGAAAATTCCAACGGTGTTAGAAAGAGTACATGCCTGGCTCTCATATGAACTAGAATTATTGACTCCGCACAAGAAGTAGCAAAATGGCGGAATTTTGACGGAACACAATAAATCGGCTATATTTTCAAAAATTGTTGAGATTTTCACTTGAAAATTTATAGGGACATAGGTTCGAATTAAATCAACATACAAAATTAAATTTTTTGAAACCGAGAATGGGGGGTCCCCTTAAATCGATTTACAAAAAACTGTCCCACTGTGCGCAAACGACTCTAAACATACCCAAATGAAATGAAATTTATTATAGGTTCCAGAAAGACATAAAAATCAGATATTTAAGTTCGTTCAATTTCATGTCAAAATTCCTTCAAAACGGCGACGTCTTTTCGGATACATATGTAGAATATACCCAAAGAGGTGAAGGGTATCATATAGTCGGCCCAATCCGACATTATTACTTTCCTTACTTGTTTTATATTAAATTTGTTAAATTTGTCATTCATTTTGTCACCTCAAAAATTTGACACACATCATTCTAGACTTAAGTCAGTACGCTATGCCAAATTTCTTGCAAATTTAATGATATATATGGACTTTTTTTCATCATTTACATTAAATCGGTCGAACATATCGTATATATATTTTTACATATACACCTTATATCATTTGTTTGATTGCACAGAGTACCGAAATAAGTCGGGAATAACGTGAGTAAAATTTGCATTATATCGGTTCAGATTTAGATATAGCTCCCAAATATATTATTCCGAGAAGTACAGTAAATAAATAATCAATTCACGCTTCAAGAAGATAAGAACTCACTAACATCAACATGTTATAAATGCTGCGATGTCTACATGTTCACGTGAACACGTTTTGAAATGACAGTAAATTTTATCGATCGATGGCAATGAATTTCTTGATTGTATTTTTAATTTTGAGTTGATAAGAAATGTCTGCTGTTATGTGCAGCATAATGTCACATCATTGGGAATTTTTGTTCGGCATTGATATATAGTTTAAAAATAAATACAATTCTTGCAAAATCATTCCAAATATATTCTTTATTGTAAAGAATGGTGGGTGGGCAATTTAAAGATTAATAATAAATTTTTAATCGAATATTCGATTGAACAATTGTTTACTATTGGAATGTGAACAATTTGCTCGAGACACGTTTAATGAATGTTGAGAATATATGTCATATAAATGCAAAAACATTTTAAAACCAGTAAGGAAAGTAGTAAAGTCGGACGGGGCCGACTATATGATACCCTTCACCACTTTGGGTATATTCAAGAGATGAATCCTAAGAGACGTCGTATGTTTGAAGGACCACTAACATGAAAATGGATCCATAAACATGCCATTCTGCAACCTATACAAATTTTTTCATTTGGTCAGATATAGAGTTGCTTCTTACAATGGGACAAAAATATGTAAATAAATTTAAGGGAACCCCCCCCCCCCATTCTCGATTTTATTTTTTCAAGATTTTCAATATTATTGTTTTGTTGTTTTTTTGTAATTAAAGAAAAGTCCTTATTGTTGATGGCGGGCATGATAACTCCTCACTGGAGCATCGGAATCCGAAAATTCCAACGGTGTTAGAATATTGACATCGCTATAGAATTAACAAAATGGCGGACCTTTGAAAAAATATTTTTGGAAAATCGCTGATTTTTTACCAAAAACCAAGTTAAAAAACCAGTAAGGAAAGTAGTAAAGTCGGACGGGGCCGACTCTAGGATACCCTTCACCATTATGGGTACATTAAACAGGACCATTAACATGAAATTGGATGAAATAAAATATGTGATATTTATCTAAATGTGAATCTACCTAGATTTGTCCATAAAGTGTGTAAATCGACTTCAAACAAATATAAATAGGTCATCCGGTTGACTATGTCTGTACTTCTAGAAAACGCAACTACGTAATTCTATGCTCAATTTTGTACGTTGTGCAAAATTTGATGTCAATCTGACTAACATGAGGAGTATGATGCCCAATTTGCTTGATATCGGGCGAAAAAATATATGTAAGCTATATCCACATATTAAGCGATTTCAAACAAACTTGTCACAGGTTAGGTTATACTAACTTTAGAACGTTTTGTTCCTATTGGTTCCTTGGTGCGTCAATTACATAAAATCAATCTATAATAAAATGGAGCTATATCTAAATCTGGACCGATTTTCACGAAACAAGGCAGACATCACTCTAGGCTCAATTCAGTACGTTATGCCAAATTTCGTGCAAATCGAAAGATATATAGCGACTTTGGTGAACCATTTACATGAAATCGGACGAAACTATATGTGGGAGCTATATAGAAATATGGACCGATTTTATCGAAACTTGGCAGACATCACTCTAGGCTCAATTCAGTACGTTGTGCAAAATTTCGGGCAAATCGAAAGATATATATGGATGTTGGTGCACAATTTACATGAAATCGGACGAAACTATATATGGGAGCTATATCTAAATCTGGACTGATTTTCACGAAACTTGGCAGACATAACTCTAGGCTCAATTCAGTACGTTATGCCAAATTTCGTGCAAATCGAAAGATATATATGGATTTTGGTCACAATTTACATGAAATCGGACGAAACTATATATGGTAGCTATATCTAAATCTTGACCGATTTTCACGGAGCTTGGCAGACATCATTCTAGACCTAAATGATTAGGCTGTACCAAATTTCGTGCTAATCGAAAGATATATAGGGACTTTGGGGCCCCATTTACATTAAATCGGACGAAACTATATATGTGAGCTATATCTAAATCGGGACCGATTTTCTTGAAACTGGGCAGACACCATTCTAGACTCAATTCAGTACGTTATGCCAAATTTCGTGCAAATCGAAAGATATATAGAGACTTTGGGGCACCATTTACATGAAATCGGACGAAACTATATATGGGAGCTATATCTAAATCTGGACCGATTTTCACGAAACTTGGCAGACATCACTCTAGGCTTAATTCAGTACGTTATGCCAAATTTCGTGCAAATCAAAAGATATATAGGGACTTTGGGGCACCATTTACATGAAATCGGACGAAACTATATATGGGAGCTATATCTAAATCTGGACCGATTTTCACGAAACTTGGCAGACATCATTCTAGACCTAAATGATTAGGCTGTACTAAATTTCGTGCAAATCGAAAGTTATATAGGGACTGTTTACATTAAATCGGTTAAATATATATATGGGAGCTATATCTAAATCTGAACCGATTTTTCCCAATTTCAATAGGGTTCGTCCTTGGGCCAAATAAGTGACCTATGCCAAATTTCATCCAATTCGGATCATAAATGCGACCTGTACTTTGTTTACAATTTAACATGGACAGACGGACGGACGGACGGACGGACGGACGGACGGACAGACGGACATGCGTAAATCGACTCAGAAAGTGATTCTATGCATATTCTCAAAAGGAACCATGGGTCTATCTCGATTATTTTTGCCTGTTACAAACATATGCACAAAGACATAATACCCTGTACCACAGTGTGGTGAAGGGTATAATAAGGAAGATCTTCACCGATTGGCTTTATCCTAGTTCATACGAGAGCTACACACTCCCAGAGAAACATTGCAAAATTTGGAACCGATTGGATTATTAGTTTTTGAGTTATCGTGCCCGCCATTCGCAATAAAATTTTTAGAGAAAAACGCGTTTAAAGTTTGAGAAGCCCTTCAGCCGTCACTTGATGCTGACACAATAAATCGGCTATATCTTCAAGAGTTCTTGATATTTTCACGTGAAATTTTGTAGAGACATTCTTTGTGTAGATTCGAATTAAATCAACAAAAAATTTGACCCCGAGAATGGGGGGGTCTCCTTAAAGCAAATATTAATCGGACACCCGTTGATTATTTGGATATATATCTGATAAACATGAGGAGTTTGGGGCACCAAAATATATAAAAGCTATATCGAAACTTGTCACAGATTAAGTTATACTAATTTCAGTATGTTTTGTGCATATCGGCCACATTCTGAGATCTTGGTGCATCATTTACTTAAGATCGGGAGAAAAAATTGTAGCTCTATCCAAATATGGGTTCATATTTGGAGAGAGCTACATGAACCCCAGCTTTATCCAAATATGAACCCATTTCAAGAAAACTTTCCACATTCCAGATTATATTAACTTCAGTATGTTGTGCAAAATTTTGTGTCAATTTAACTATAATCGGTCAAAACTATATATACCTAACATACCTATATCTAAGATATACCTAATTCAGAACCGATTTCTAATAACTTCGCCAACGTAAGGTAATATTAATTTCAGTACGTTGTGCAAAATTTTGTAGCAAATGGCCAAACTTTGGGTCTTTTGTGCACCTTTCACTTAAAATCGGAGCTCTTTATATCTAAATATGAACCGATTTCAACAAAACTTGTCACACTTTATGTTATATTATCTTCCGTACGTTGTGCAAAATTTTGTGCCAATTGGACCCACCTGGGAAATTCGGTGCAGAATTTATATCTTATTCCTAGATTATACTAACTTCAAAATCGGACGAAAATATATATGGGAGCTATATCCAAATCTTGACCGATTTTCAGGACTCTTAACACACATCATTTAAGATCTAATTCAGTACACTATGCCCAATTTCGTACAAATCGAAAGTTATATAGGGACTTTGGTACAGCATTTACATTAAATCGGACGAAAATATATATCGGAGCTATACCTAAATCTGAACCGATTTTCAGGAAACTTAACACACATCATTATTGACCTAATTCAGTACACTATGCCAAATTTCGAGCAACTCGAAAGATATATGGGACTTTGGTGTACCATTTACCTTAAATCGGACGAAAATATATATGGGAGCTATATCTAAAGCTGAACCGATTTTCATGAAATTTAACACACATCATTCTAGAATTTATTCAGTGCGCTATGCCAAATTCCGTGCAAATCTAAAGATATATAGGGAGTTTGGTACACCATTTACATCAAATCGGACGAATATATATATGGGAGCTATATCTAAATCTGGACCGATTTTCAGGAAACTTAACACACATCATTCTAGACTTTATTCAGTCCGCTTTGCCAAATCCCGTGCAAATCGAAAGATATATAGAACCTTTGGTACACCATTTACATTAAATCGGACGAAAATATATATGGGAGCTATATCTAAATCTGGACTGATTTTCAGGAAACTTAAAATACTTCAGTCTCGACCTAATTCAGTAAGCTGCGCCAAATTTCGTGCAAATCGAAGGATATATAGGGACGGTTTACATAAAATCGGACGAAACTATATATGGGATCTACATCTAAATCTGAACCGATTTTTCCCAATTTCAATAGGGTTCGTCCTTGGGCCAAATAAGTGACCTGAGCCAAATTTCATCCAATTCAGATTATAAATGCGACATTTTCTTTGTTTACAATTTAAAATCGACAGACAGAAAGACGGACATGCATAAATCGACTCAGATAGTGATTCTATGCATATTCTCAAAAGGAATCATGTGTCTATCTCGTTATAAATACTCCATTGTAGGGGTCTATAAAGTTTTAAGCAAATTAACATGGACAGACAGACGGACGGAGATGCGTAAATCGACTTAGAAACTGATTCTATGCATATTCTCATATTCCCTTCACCACACTGTGGTACAGGGTATTATGTCTTTGTGCATATGTTTGTAACAGGCAAAAGGAATAGCCCCATGGTTCCTTTTGAGAATATGCATAGAATCAGTTTCTAAGTCGATTTACGAATGTCCGTCTGTCCGTCCGTCCGTCTGTCCATGTTAAATTGTAAACAATATACAGGCCGCATTTATTATTCGAATTGGATGAAATTTGGCACAGGTCACTTATTTGGCCCAGGGACGAACCCTATTGAAAATGGGAAAAATCGGTCCAGATTTAGATATAGCTCCCATATATAGTTTCGTCCGATTTCAGGTAAATGGTGCACCAAAGTCCCTAAATAGCTTTCGATTTGCACGAAATTTGCCACCAAAGTCCCTATATATCCTTCGATTTGCACGAAATTTGGCATAGCGCACTGAATGGAGCCTAGAGTGATGTCTGCCAAGTTTCGAGAATATCGGTCCAGATTTAGATATAGCTCCCATATATAGATTCGTCCGATTTCATGAAAATGGTGCACTAAAGTGCCTATATATCCTTTGATTTGAAATTTGGCATAGCGTACTGAATTTAGTTCAGACTGATGTGTGCCAAGTTTCGTGAAAATCGGTTGAGATTTAGATATAGCTCCGTTATATTATAGATTGATTTTAAGTAATTGACGCACCAAGGATCCAATATATGGCTGATAAGAACAAAACGTACTGAAATTTGTATTACCTAACCTGTGACAAGTTCGTTGAAATTGGTTAATATTACGATATAACTTCCATATATATTTTCGCCCGATTTAAGTAAATTGGACATAGACTCCTCATGTTAGTCAGATTGACATCAAATTTTCCACAACGTACAAAATTGAGCATAGAATTACTTAGTTGCGTTTTCTAGAAGTACAGACCTATTGATATTTGTTTGAAGTCGATTTACATACTTTTGTCCCATTTTAACAATCGAATGACATGTTTATGGATAGATTTAAGTCGATTCACATTTAGATAAATATCACATATTTTAATTCATCCAATTTCATTTTAATAGTCCTGTTTAATATATCCATAGTGGTGAAGGGTATCATATAGTCGGCCCCGTCCGACTTTACTACTTTCGTTACTGGTTTATATTAATAAACCAAATAGCTTTATAGGAGCCTATAGAGACTCCTTTATAGGAGCTTAGATAACCCACTTTTTTGGAGTCTATAAAGACTTTTTCATCGGAGTCTATAAATACTCCATTGTACGGGTCTATACAGACCCACTTATGGGAGTCTATTAAGACTTCATATATAGTAGTCTATAAAGACTACCGATAAAGGAGTCTCTATAGAACCCTACATAGGAGTCATTATAGACTCCTTAAAAGGAGACTCCTGTAAAGGAGTCTTTATAGATTCCTATTAAGGAGTCTTTATAGAAACCATTGCTTCCAAAAAAAGTCACTGTTTGTGGCGCTCTTTAGTCTAAAGGTGTGAAGTTAGTTTAACTTTTTCGAAAATCTTGCTTAGGCTCCGATTTTAACTCCCCAGAAAATTAAAAGTAAGTGATAGTTATATACCTCGACCACGTCCGATTATACTGTTCCGCTTACTCTTTTCTTTATTTATTCTTTAAATATATTTACTATTAACTAAAATACTATAAATGATAATGACAAAACATAATGCATTCCACAAATCTAATTCGTGTGATTGTGTTATTAGTGTTAAATAAGATTATTCAAATCGGCCAATTTTTCAATGACGTAATCGGGACAATTTAACGTATTCAATTCCAGCGATTGCAAATGTTGTACCTCAAATGGTTCCGTTAATACAAACATTGTTTGAAATCCACATTCTTTACCAAATTGTATATCACTTCGTAAGCTGTCACCGATCATTAAAACTCGTTTAGGATCATTGATGTTGAAAGAACGTTTTAATAATTCTCCCAACTCGGCTCCAGGTTTACCAAAGACTTTGGCCTTTCGGTGATTGGCTTCTTCAACAATGTGCATAAAGGCTCCTGGACCCAACAATTCATGGCCACCAAATGGAATGCGTGGGTCGGCAGCACCAGCTATAAACAAACATTGGGGATTCTTCAACAAAACTTGAGCTCTCATTAATTTCCAGGCAGTTAAATTAAAATCAATATCAATTACAACAGCCTTTACGGGATCTTTGTTATATATGGCATGATGCAAATCGATTACGGAGCCATCAATAAGTCGTTCTTTCTGTGAATGGATAATAATATGAATAATAATAGATAGTAATAGAATTGTAAAATTTTAAATATTTTTTTAATAATTATTTGTTTAGTTATATTTTAGTTTTACATATGGCTTACCTCTTCTACGACATCGAATCCACTATCACGTAAATGCTGTTTAAAAGCTGACGAAGCAAAGCATAGGATTAACCCTTGAAAGTTTTCACTTTTCAAATAATCGCTTATAGTTTTCGCTGGATGTACTAAATCTTGCTGAAATTAGAAAAAAAGAATAGATTAAATTACTTTATATATTATATATAATATATATGTATATATATATATATATATATATTAGCTCTTAACAATGTGGATTATGTTGAAATATACATTTTCTAAAGGAACTTTCACTTAAAATAGTGTTAGTCCCAGCCGCAGGAAACTGCAACAGTGAGACGGACACTTCACCACTTTGTATATATATATATATATATATATATTGAGATGTCCCTACGATTATTATACCAACATAAAGATGTACACATATCGATTAAAATGAAACATAACAGGTGTCATATCAAATGAATTTTGTAATATTTGGACAATACCCTTTTGATGGGACGGACACTGTATACTAAATCTAACAATTTTTTATAAATGTGCCTCCATTTCAAAAAGTCTTAACTAACACCATTCAGTTGGCTGCCAAACAGTGCGCTATCAAAATCTCTCTTTGACGAAAATATTAACCTCTGAATATTTATATAGTTACACCTGAACTTAATTTAGTATGTGGTGGTGGAAGCACGTGGAGTATTAGATAATATGGACCGAATATATATGAGAACTATATAGTGTTGGAGATAAAAGACAATTTAAATAAAACCTAATGCACGGCAGTTTAGGCACGACGAAATTATATAAGGAAGCTATATATCTGAAATTTATATGGGATCTACATATATATAAATCAGGATCGATTTAGAGTAAACATAACACATGTCATTTTAGACTTTTTGGGTACGAATGCTATATATCTTTGGGTATTGTATAAGTATTTAGGAGAGCTATATCCAAATCCGAGCCGATTTCAAATCATTCCAGATTTAATTAAATCCAAAATTCCAATTTGTTGTCCCTTTATATAAAATGGGAAGAAAATATATAAATATGAGACTACTTTGTGTAAGTATGCCATTATGTGAGCTATATCTAAATCTGAATTGATTGCAATGAAAGACTGTGCGAAATTTTTTGGCAATCGGAGTGTAATCATTTATATAAAATCGAATAACTATATATGTTGGGGCACTTCCTGCAGCTTCAGTTCATTGTTTGGATTGTCTTTTGTCTCTGGATTATAGTGGTGGATCCTTATATCATCATTATGAAAGGACGCTATAAATCAATTTTATTTCGCTTAAAACTATGTTAATTCTTATGCGTTTTTGATCGACCACATCATTATGCATTTTTTGTTCCGATAAACCTTTTTTATGTAAAATTTTTAATAACAGCACACATTTCTAATTTTGTCGATTGTAAAAAAATGCGGATGCCTCTTTTTTGAACACCTGTTTCTATATGAAGGACTTGCCAGATCGAAACAAAATTTAACATGTGTTCATAACAGAGATGAAAGTTTCCCAAATCTTTAACTTTTTTCGGTTTATACCGCACTTTTGGTGCTAGGCTAAAAAGTTTCCGAACTGCCCTCGTATATGGGAGTTGTATTTTAATCGGGACAAATAAATGAACTGCGTATCTATCCAATTCCGATGGTAAATGCAAACTGTACTTTATTTACAATTTTATATTAACAGACGGACAGACTTAGAAAGTGACTATATGCATATTCCCAAAAGTAAATATGGGAGTAAGACATGCCAATGCGTAATGAGGGGCATACAAATTTGATTTATAAGCACTTTAACACTATAAAAGTACCAATAACTGCTAGATAACGTTTTGTTTTCACATGTCACTATGCACATGGGGAGATGGATTTCAATTGTCATAAAGGACATTAAAATACCGACCATTTTTGTCGAAACAGTTTTTTTTCACTTGAATGAAAGCAATCCGGAATGAAATGGTCATAAAGTGGAAATTATTCTTTTTATACCCTTCACCACACTGTGGTACAGGGTATTATGTCTTTGTGCATATGTTTGTAACAGGCAAAAGGAATCGAGATAGACCCATGGTTCCTTTTGAGAATATGCATATAATCACTTTCTGAGTCGATTCATACAAGTTCGTCCGTCCGTCTGTTGATGTTAAATTGTAAACAAAGTACAGGTCGCATTTATAATCCGAATCGGATAAAATTTGGCACAGCTCATTCATTTGGTCCAAGGACGAACCCTATTGAATTTGGGAAAAATAGATATAGCTCCCATATATTTTTTCGTCCGATTTAAGGTAATTGCTGCACCAAAGACCCTATATATCTTTCGATTTGCACGAATTTTGGTATAGCGTACTGAAATAAGTCTACAATGATGTGTGCTAACATTCGTGAATATCGGTTCAGATTTAGATATAGCTCCCATATAGTTTCGCCCGATTTTAGGTAAATGATGCACCAACGTCCCTGAAAATCATCACGAAATTTGGCATAGAGTACTGAATGAAGTCTGAAGTCATTCTGATTGAGATTAAATTTTAAACCGTGCAGCATACCAAATAGCGTGTGTCAAGTTTGCTTTAAATCGATTTATAAAATTTAGCACAGGTTGCAGAATGGCATGTGTAGGTTATTGATTGATGTTATTCGGTTTAGATATAGATAAAGATCACATATTTAAGTTCGTTCAATTTCATGTCAATGTTCCCTCAAAAAGGCGACTGTGGTGAAGGGTATCATTTAGTCGGCCCCGTCCGATTTTTCTACTTTTCTTACTGGTTGTCTAATCAAAAATTAAAACTACCTATAGGACCTACAAACCATCAATTATGAAGCGAGCTCTTTTATGACAACTAATAACCCGGATAATGTACAATTTTTTCAATTAGTTCAAATTTATTGTAGTTTATTTATCGTGTTTCAAATTAATTTTATGAAACGTTATTTACAAAATATAAGGGGAAGTAAAGACTCCGGAATATTGTCGTTAGAAGTAGATAATCCGAATGAAGGAAACTTGAGAGCACTGTTGTGATGTACAACGGATGGGGATGAATATCTTAGAAAAAGTTGTGAGAGTACACCGAAAATGCAACATACCTGAGTCCCAGAATACTAAACAATTTAACCAGTGAGCGGAGAAGTATAGTCGGACGGGGCCGACCATACGATACCCTACACAACTTCCATGAAAATCTAACTTTCTGTGGTTCTATATTCTGAGTTTGGGCAATATTTCTCGATATTTGCACACTTTTGACTGGCTAGTGGTCAGCAAATGTTACTAATAATCAGTACAGCCCCTCTAATTACTTGTCCAGATTCTCTTCACCGTGGGTTGTGTTGCGATGTTCGGCTTTCGACTCGAAAAGTACAAATAATTAAGTTTTCGGTCCACTTCATCCGAAAAATTATTATCTGATCATCACCTAACATTTTAGGCGTTGTCCTTGACTATAACTTGAACCTCATGGAACATTTCAAAGCGATCAGCACTATATTTCCGCCCTCCAGTGTGGTAATAGGTTACTAAATAATATATGAATACGTAAGCACCTGTAAATAGTTAAGTGTAACTCCCGCATCCGAGTACCTACGACAATATAATTGGTATCAATTTAAAGGTCAACCACTCCTCTTGGATATACTATCAACTTCTCGAGTCTATATCCTTCAGTGGTAAATATATACGCTATAGAATACAATTTTTGTCATTTTTCACACAAAAGTTAGGGTCCATTTGACCCACTAAATATTGACCAATATTTATCAAAACAGGCATGCTTATTCTTTGGCCCGATCCCCTTTTCTATGCCAAAATTCGCGGTGTTTGTGCCATAATTGCGGCCTCTGGAGTTACCAGAAAAACAGATAAAAATTTAGTATTTGGTCTATTTCATCCCCTAAATATTAACCGATCTTTATCAATAGGGGTCTTCCTTAGCCAGAACCCATTCTACATGCAAAATTTCGTGAAGATTGGTCCATAACTATGGCCTGTATCGTGTTTTCAAATTATAATGGACAGACGGACGGACGGACACACATGTCTAGATTGACTCAGCTAGTCGAGATATGACGATCGGTATACTTAAAGGTGGGTCTAGGACCAATATTTCGCGGCGTTACAAACTTTTTGGGCTGCACAAAGCTATAATACTCTGACAACATAGCTGTGTAGGGTATAATAAAACTTTGTTTACAGAATAGAGCACAAAGGCTATTGTAGAAGAAGTGAAAAATGCTGTATTCTTTTCGATTTTAGCGGATGAAATTACGTATATTCCTGATAAGGAGCAGTTATAAATATGTATTAGATTTTACGGCAAGGTATCTGAAAGAAGTCAAAAACATGTTTCCTTTGCTGCGTGGAAGTAGAATAAACATAATAATCAGGTTGGGTGTGGATCGCAATTTTTCTAAAAGATCAAGGATATAAGGGCGCGTCTAACATGTAAGGCAATTATAATGGAGTACAGGCCATTATTTAATCGAAATTCCTTCGTTCCTCTCACATTTTAAATTTAATCTTAAGTACATTTTCAAAGATTCTAAAAATTCGAAGTATATTTTCTACAAATTCGGAAATATGGTCATTCATTCGAAAATCTCCAAAATGTTACTTTATGTAGAATATTTGGAGAAGCAAGTGAATATTTCAAATGACTACATTAATGAAACACAATGCGTTGTGCGGGCTAACTGTGTACAAGATTTAATATGGACTTATTTTTAACTAGCATATGCCCGCAACTTCGTTAGCGAATGTAGGAAATATTTAAAAATGTATTAACATATTATTTTATTTTCAGAGAAAACTGCATATGTCAAAAAAAAACATTCCACACATTAATATCGACCATAAATTAAATTTGAGTAGCAGTTAGTACCAAATTTCATGATTCGAGCTCTAAAGGTTCAGCGAAATCCAAATTTTACCAAAATTTCTATTTAGCACACATTATATCCATAATAACCCTCCTCAACAATCTAACTAACCTCCTCAATATCCAACTACATAGGTTCACCCCCAATTCAAATTGTATCAAATTAGTACACAAAACCTCTTACTTACCCCAAAACTACACCACCACAGTGATCCAAAGTATAACTATCAGGATTCCAATTCTGTCGGTCCACCCACAATTCAAATTGCACCAAATTTCCAAAACTTTCTAATTAACCCAAACCAACACCACCACAGTTATCGTAAATCTAAGTTTCAAGATTCAAACTCTACCACAATTCAAATTGTACCAAGTTTAGTACACATTATTACAAATTTACGAAACTTGCTACATACGCCAATCATACACCCCCACAGTGATCCTAAATCCAATGTTCAGACTTCCAACTCTATCGATTCACCCACAATTTAAATTACACCAAATTTAGTACACAGTAGTACGAATTTCTAAAGTTTCAGGATTCCAATTCTGTCGGTCCATCCAAAATCCAAATTGTACCAAATTTCCAAAACTTCCCACTTAACCCAAACCAACATCCCCACAGTTATCTAAAATCTAAGTTTCAGGATTCAAACTCTACCGGTTCACCCACAATTCAAATTGTACCAAATTTAGTACACTTAGTACAAATTTCTAAAACTTCCTACATACCCCAACCCTACACTCCCACAGTGATACCAAATCAAAGTTTCAGGGTTGCAACCCTATCGGTTCACTCACAATTCAAATTGTACCAAATTTAGTACACATTAGTACACATTTCTAAAACTTCCTACATATCTCAATCTTACAGCTCAACAGTGATCCTGACTTCAAATTTCATGATTTTATCTCTATTGGTTCACCTAAAATTCAAATTGTACCAAATTTAGTACCATTTAGTACCCATAAGTATTATTTTCTTAAACTGAATCCTGACCCCAATCCCACACCCCTACAGTGATCCTGACTCCAAATTTAATTTTTCCCGCTCTATAGGATTACCCAAATCCAAGCTGTACGATTTAGTACTTATCGTACACATAAGTAACAAATTTCCAAAACTACGTTCATATACCAAACCTATACTCCGACGGTAATTTTAATTTCAAATTCCAGGATTCCAGCTCGATTTGTATCTCCAAATTAAATGTGTACCAAATACAGTACCATATAGTACTTTTCGTACACATGAGTACACGCTTTCAAAACCATCTCCTTAAATGGACCCTACTTCTCAACATTAATTCACACACCAAATATCAAGTTTTTAACGCTATCCAGTCACATGCTACATAATTGTACCAAATTTGGACATTTTCGTAGTTTTCGGATAGTAATAGTTCGAATTTCCAAAAACCCTTTGGCACATCTATCCTACAATCCATCAACGACCACCAAACCAGAGTTCAGAGTATCACATTTAGTACTTTTCGTACGGTTGTAATACGAATTTCCAAAAACCCAGCTAGTAAACTAATAAATTAGATAAATACGTTAGATAGTGTTAATCGTATCTTAACACTTATACACATATTAGGAATTTTCAAAATTAATATCATGTTCTGTGGCTTACTTCAGTACACCCAATCTTCAGACTAGTAATCAGGACATTGTCAAAGCTATACGACATAATAGTGACGAGGAGTTCCACAAAATATACATGGAGACAAAAATTATATATTGCCGACAAATTTGGAGTAGAGGTTTCAGTGCCAAGAAGGATTGCTACGCAAAAGTTGAGGCGAATGTAATCCGTTTGAATTCCGAATTTGTGCCATATTTGGACTATAGTAAATTTGACAAGCAGATTATATTATATATTGCAGATTATATAAAAACATCAAATGTAGTGCCATCAAGAATTATAAATTTTTCATATAAAGATTTTTTGTGAAATCATAAATTTTTTGAAAAAGATTTTCGAAATTGTAAGCAGAAAGTAGAAGCTGAATTTAGAATATTGTCGTTAGTTTAAATACATTTTCACGATTAGTATTGCCTTTCCATAGAAATATTATTTATATTTTCTAATAAACATATACGAAATTAAAATCATTAAAAATTATCGCACCAGCGGGCACGTCCGCCCCGGTAACATATATCAACTTCGGTTGGAAAATGTGTCTTTGAAAATGCAGATTCTTATATGGGGACTAGGTCAAAATATGGGACTATACTAAAAATTTCAGCAAGTATGTTTTTCTCCCTCGGATTTGGTGAGAAACGAGATAAACACTTGGTTCCTTTTGCGAATATGCATAAGTTTCGTGTAAATCGGTTCAGATATAGCAGATATAGCCAAGCATGATATGTGTTAAGTTTCGTTAAAATCGGTTTAGATTTAGATGTAACTCTCATATATATATATATATATATATATATATATTCGTCCGATTTAATATAAATGGTGCATCGAAGTCCCCATATATCATTCAATTTGAAAAATTTTTTAGTATAGCGTACTGAATTAAGTTTAGAATAATACCTGCTCTCTATCGGTTCAGACTTAGATATAGCTCCAACGTGTATTTTCGTCCGATTTTATGAATCTAGAACGACGTATGCTAAGTTTCGTAAAAATCAGTTCAAATTTAGTTTGGCATGTGCAGAGATTGATGTTAATCGTTATACATATAGATGAAGTTCACATATTTACATTCGTACCATTTCATGTCAATGTTCCTACGAAAAGGCGACGTCTGTTAGGATACATATGAAGAATATACCCAAAGTGGTGAAGGGTGTCATATTGTCCGCCCACTACTTTCCTTACTGGTTTTTAATATAAACCCATGATTTCAAATAGTCGTCATACAAAGGATCGATTGAATTTTTGGGTGCACACCACATAGTGTAGTGTATTGTTCAGCCTGGACGAAATCAATGATGTTTTTATTTATTACAAAATGTGTACACTTTTTGGGTCAGGGCTATAGAGAGTTGCCGATAATCGTCATCATTTTTGTATCAAATACTCATCATGTTCGAAACATGATGAGTATTTGATACAAAAATAACAATGTGTAAAATTTGAATCTATTCACATTGATAATTACCAGGAGGGGTTCACACCACCATACATGATATTGCTAAATCATGTTAAAATTTTCAAAACCACTATGATTCAAATGTACCTCAGTTCTAAAATCATAATCGCATCAAAACCTATATTCCCCATTAGTCATAAGACTGACGGTTTTGCACGATGTGATGCGAAATATTCTATTTCGTCATTTCCTTTTCAATTATTGCACAAACAATTGGCTTACCTCTTCAATTGGTATATTGCTTTTAGAGAACTTTTTCAGCTGGTCTTTCGTAGATGAAATGCTGTTATTTGTGACAAATACGACTTTTTTGCCTTGTTCACGTAAATATCGAATTGCCTCTGAAGCACCAGGTATTATTTCATATAAATTATGCCATATTACACCTGGAAATATTGAAAATGACTTTTAATACAATGCTTGCCCTGCGATCTATAAAACAGAAACCAATTACTCGAATTACCATCACAATCACAAAATACTAAATCGAATGAATTGAGAAAATCACGTTTTTCACTTGGCGTTAATTGTGCAATGAATTTCACAGATGGTGGCGATGACCGTAACGTTTTAAAGCTTAACGGTGACGACGATTGAGATGACGATGACATATTAAGGTTTTCCAAAAAAAACAAAAAAAAAAAACAATTGGTTTCTATTGAAATCTAGATGAAAAGCGATTATAATTTATTTTCCAATTCCAATTGTTCTCCACTGAGTCGCGTCTTGTTTGTAACTAATTTCCATAAGCGTTGAGATCAGCACTTACCTTCCAGTATCTTTTTTGATGCGATATCAATTACATTGCTGCTAAACAACAGAAGAAAAAAAGAATTCAATATTTTTGTAGATGTTTGTAAGTAGATTGTTTGTAGGTGTTTGTATTTACTTATTATTTTACTGTAATGGGTGGGGTGGACGTGGTGTGGAACATACCCATCGCCTATGATCGTCGTCACCACAAAATACCATAATTGAAACTGTTGACGACGTGTTCGAGTTGTTGGAAAAAGCTTTTTTTTTTGTTTTCAAGTATGACATCGAAAAATGCAAATTTATTAAGAAACATGAATGCGATTATAAAATGGCATAGTCGACAGAATGCTAAGCCCTACAATGAATGTGTTTGTGGGTATGTAACATAAATCTGATATAAGTAACTTATATCAGATTTATTATTATTTATTCAAGTGTTCAGTGTTTAAAAAGAATTATACGTGAAGAGTGGTTGTGAACAACGCTCCGGATTCATATTCAATTACTATTTGTATTTATTATGCTGATGACATTAGTCGAACTTCGCTGACGTTCGTTCAGAGATAACATAAACCATTTAATGGTCCAGAAGAGGTCATTCCCTAGTCGAAGACAGAAATGTCGGAATAATATCCAGTTTATTGATATTTAGTACACGTTTGTTTGACTATATCGTTGGATTCTGTAAAGTGATATTTGCTCCACGTTGGATACATGTGTCAACACGATGAAAAATAATCAGACGGAACACTAAAAGATACTTAATATTGTATCATAGTGAATCTGGTATACCAAGAAGTGTTTTTATATGAAAATTAAAATGATATACCAAACAAAAATGATGAGTGGTTGTGAGCAACGGAGTGACGTAGGGAATGATATATACCAAGCAACGGTTCTGATTGGCATTAACATGACAAAGACCAGGCTTATCTTGGTCCCTCATTCATTTCAATTGGGGACACTGACCTCCAAACGGGGTCACCTAGGGTAGCCACTTTCATCATCCGTTGAAATAGTGAGCTGATATGTGCCGCGAGTTCACCCATAAGAACTATAAAAAATGGGCGGAGGCGTCGGGTTAGTTGCCCATACTTGAAAGAAAACCAAATCTCCCCAATGTTGACGACCCCGGAAACGTATAAAGGACAACGATCTGCGAATATGCACTTGGAATGTTCGCTTTAGCGAATGTACTCAAGAAGTACAGAGACGATATTATTGCCTTACAGGAAATGCGATGGAAAGAGAGGGGCGTAAGTAAATCAAACGATTACGCACTGTATTATAGTTGCCATGAAACAAGACACGACTTTGGCTGCGGAATTATGATCAACAGGAGAATAAAATACCTCGTCTCCAGATTCATTCCAGTAGATTAGCGAATTGTTATAATCCGTATAAAAGTGAAGTTCTTCTAAATCAGTCCTATTTGCGCCAATGCTCCGATGGAAGACAAAGATGAACAAATCAAAGACACATTTTAAGACCGCTACCCTGGCCATGACATTAAAATTCAGCTAGGAGATTTTAATACAGAAATCGGAAGGGAAAATATTTTTAGGCCCACCGACGGAGAATTCAGCCTCCACGAAGAAACATCCGACAACGGCATGAGGTTGATTGACTTCGCGGCAGCAAAAAATATGGTAGTTAGCAGCACCAGATTCAAGCATCTCGATATTCACAAGGCCATCTGGATTTCTCCTGATCAAGCAACGAGAAATCGAATTGATCATGTTGTGATAGACGGAATGCATTCATCCAGTGTTTTAGACGTTCGGTCGATACGAGGAACGAATATCGATTCGGACCATTACCTTGTGGCAGCAAAAATTCGCACTGATGTGAAAAACGCAGCGTATAGGGCAACCCTGCTGACAGTAGCAACACGTAATGCGATGGAGAATTATCGGGAGAAAAGGAGAGAGAACCGTAATTTAAGAAAAATAGAGCAAGACCAAGAATAACGTGATAGTGGGCAATTCCAGATGTACAGGAGTCAGCATGAAGTCCGAAAATTTTACAAACGAGTAAAACACCAAACCGAGGCTTTGGTGCAGCACATCTTCCTGTTGAGATGAAGATGGAAACATGGTGACAGATAGGATCTGGAAGGAGCATTTTGAAAAGCTTCTGGTATCAAATAGTGGCGGTGAAGAAGATACCCCAGAATCAATAAGAGATGACGGTATAGATTGTATACCACCTAGCCAGGATAAGGATAGAGTAGCAATTAATCGGCTGAAGAACAATAAAGCAGCAGGAGCCGATGGATTTCAAGCCGAACTATTCAAGACCGGCGGTCAGATGCTGGTCAGGAGCATGCAGCAGTTGATTAGTACACTTTAGCTAGATTGCCCAATGCCCAATGATTGGAACCTAAGCATTCTGTGTCCCGTGCACAAAAAAGGAGAAAAGACGATATGTGTCAACTGTAGAGGAATAAGTCTCCTTCCCATCGCCTATCCTGCGTGCTGTGTGAACGACTGAAGTCAATGGACATTATTCGACCTAACCAAAGCGGCTTCAGACCTGGCATATCCAACATAGCCCAGATTTTCGCACTGCGCCATATTCTGGAAAAGACCCACGAAAAAACACATCGAAACATTTTACCTATTCGTCGACTACAAAGTCGCTTTCGACAGCCCAATCCGCTCAGAATTGTTTAAAGCCATGCGTTCGGCATTTGACGATAACTTAATAGGCTATTCTGGATAACTTAAGATAGCACAAGGTCAGCAGTTAAAGTTGGGAAGCACTTCTCGCAGCTCTTCAGTGCCGAACGAGGATTTACACAGGGTGATAGTTTGTCGTGTGAACTGTTTAACATTCTGCAGGAAAAGGACATACGAGAGACAAATGTGAACAGAAATGGCATTCTGCACACCTACTCGCCTGAGCCGACGACTTCGACATAATGGCTCGAATATTGCGAGCGGTAACAGCAACATTTGAACAAATTGAGAAGGGGTCTGCCAAAGTGACTCTGGCAGTAAATATCGAGAAGACCATGCTGATGGTATCAATGCACAAGACGTATACTGAGACCAACTGCGGAACTCGAAAACTACAGCTTTGAGGTAGTCGGAGATTTCATCTACCTCGATACCGACATAAACAATACAAATGACATCAGTTTTGAGATACGGAGAAGGATAGTGTTGGCCAACAGATGCTACTATTGCCTAAGAAAGCAATTCAGAAACAAAGCCAGCGCTAGCCAGAGCAAACTCACACTCTACCAGACGCTGATACTACCTGTGCGGGTGTATAGCTATAGCTTTTTAATAGAGATTCTGTTTATACCCTCAGCCTTATAGCTAATAATAGGATATATCATTTTTGGGACGGCAAAACATATTGGTTTTAGACATGTTCCTTTTGACTAAATCAGCATCAGACAATTTGGAGTCTATTTACAAATTTCCGTCCGTCCGTCTTTTACGCACAATAACTCTCGATGAGAGTAAACGATTTCATTCAAACTTTGCACAGCGTATTATTTATTTCAAACTTATATCAAGTTCGAAAAAGGAGGATATCGACACGAACCGTACTTAGACAATGCCTGAATATGCGACCCTTCGGTTTATCCTTCTGGTAACACCCCAACAGTGTGAACATTTTTATTAAATTTGTCATTGCGCTTGCAACACCTCGAAATATTCACTGGAGACCCCAAATAGTATATATATATATTTGTTCAGAATAAAATTATATGTCGATTTATGCATGTCCGTCTGTTTAAAACACGGTAGAGTTCGCAATATATAAGATAGATCTGTGAAATTTTGCAGGCTTTTGGTATTGGATGAAATATGGGAGTCTACGTTTTGACGTAGCTTCCATATAACGGTAGCCCGCCGTTTTCGGTATTTTAGAGACTTTTTCAAACAAATTGACTGTAATTTTGTATTTTGAGTTCTCATGGCATAACATACAGGGTTGCCCATATTCGACGGACCCATCTGGCAACGCCATAACTTTTGACAGAGACGTCACAGCGCTTAATGACATCCCGCGTTTGAAGCGTCAGTCCAAGCAGATTTTTACCATGAACCAATACACGCCACGCGAGCGCTATATTTTGAAGAATTTGTTTCCGGGCCGTGTGATGTCGAAAAGTGGTGATTTGGACTGGCTACCGCGTTCGCCCGATTTGACGCCGCCTGACTTCTTCTTGCGGGGATATTTAAAGTCAAAGGTTTACGTTAACGAGCCAAGGACCGTAGAAGAGCTCAAAGACGATATTCGTGAAGAAATAGCCGCTATTCCGGCCGAAATGTTGGCAAAAACGATGGAAAATGCTGCAAAAAGGGCACAATACGTCATCAACGCCAGAGGCGGCCATTTGAGAGATATCATATTCAAAAATTGATGTAAAAAATAATATTTTCAGAAATTATGACCATGTATTGTTCCATTTAATTTCTATTTTTTCCCTAACCGAAGATGAAATTCCTAATGTAGGGTATAGCACAAAATTAAATTGCATCCTATTGTTCGCGCTTACTACAAAGTGGATGATAAACAAATATGCAAATTACGCATTATTCAATTAAGTTGATACCTTGTAAAAATTGCGCCAAAAAGCACGTGCCTTTTATGTTTATAAATTTCATTTAGAGCTGGCCACCTAAATTGTACACATGCAATTGCAATACAGAAAATAAATTAATACGCTGTTGCGAATTATGGGTATAGGTGTATAGTATATACAGAGTACTTGCGATTATCCAAATTGGTCTGTAGCTTTAAATGCTATCGATACATTATTTCAAATTGAACATACTGTACTGTACAAAATATTTGTACCAGAAATTATATGTTTGTATCTTTGGTGTGAATT